GGCGCGGCCACGCTTCAAGAGTTGGAGCAATTCGCCAGGTCATTAATTATCACCTTTCCAAGGCTTTTTTTTTCTTTCCTCGTTTTTGTTTTTGTTTTTGTTTTTGTTTTTTTTTTCCCTTTCCGTTCCCGTTTGGCTTGGTGCGCCCTGCGTTGCAATCCTTCCCTTTGCACAAACAAACAGCGCCCCGAACCAGTCCCGTCCTGCTTATTATTATTATTATTATTATTATTAGTTTCCCGTATTTATTGTTACGAGGGCTGTTGTTTTAGGCTGGGGAGCGGCGCGGGCAGCAGCCCGAGCTCTCATTAGCCCCGGGCTAAAGGGCCTCCGAGGGCCGCGGGGGAGCCCGGCTGCAAGTGGCCCCTTCGCACCGGGGCTCCCAGAGCGACGGCCACAAAAAAAAGGGCCCGTTTCGATCCCACGTCGCGCGCGGGAGCGGCGGGAACTCCCGCTGCGGCGGGAGGGGGTTGAGGTTTCGAACGCTGAACGCGGGTTGCGTTGTGTAAATAAATCACGGAACCGACTTTTCCCCAGCACCCACGCGCGGGCTGTTTACCAAAGTGCTAGCAGCACCCAAAATAATAAATACAATAAAATAAAATTTAAGGAAAAAAAACCCCTTTTTGGCTTCTCTCTGATTTTGGCATCTCTCTCTGAACTTACAAAGATGAAAAAAATAAAGGACAAACTTCTATGGAAACGAATGTGTGCATGGCATACGCTGCTGGACGTCCAAAGGTGGCCACCATGATGCTCCGATGAAGTAAAACACATAAGAGGTAATTAAGCATTTAAATTTAGGATTTAAATGCAGTATCTCTAACTCCTCTTTGGTTTTGGGATACTTTCTGTTTTAAATATTTCATTAATACGATTCCCAATTAATCTGCCCTGCCTCTCGCAGAAAGTAAGGTATATATATTTATGACTCAAGTTCATCCAAGAATAGTCTTATGCAAAACCATAGCCACAGATGGATAGATAGGAAAAAGCTACCTGAAACC